TTACTTGTTATAATGACCCGGCTAGTCGTTTTAATAGTATTAGCCCCGATCCCATATGTACTACTTCCTCTGTTTTATTTTATGCTTACGTCACTAATGTGCCGGAGAATTTCGGCACATTTCAACACAAATTGCTTAGATTTTAGCTCGTTTTTAATGCAATTATCTCCTTTACTTATGCAATTTTAGTGTTTTTGCAGTACATGAGGTCTAAGGACCCAAGAGCATGGAAATATAAGCAAAAAGCCACAAAAAGAGAAGAAAATAGCGAAAAGGCATCGCAATTGTGGAAATGCTATCGCAAAACCCACATGCGAGCCGCAGATCATACACCAAAATCGCAGACCAAAATAGATTGCTGGGCAAAATTCAACGTAAAAAATGCGGTCCCATCTGCGATCGCATAACCTGTTGAGGAGCCGCAGAATTGACCGCAAACCAAACATGAGGTTTACTGAAGGAAGAAATTGCGATGCAAAATGAGGTCGCATTTCTACAATGCGGACTGCAAAACATAAATGCGGTGAAGGCCTGGAAACTAGGGTTACATTCTGCGATGGACTTGTCAAAAATGCGAACCGCATGTCTTCTTTGCGACAGAAATGCGGTCGCATATCTGACCTGAAAGGGCATTTTTGTCCGTTTCCTGTCCCGATTTTCAGTCTACTATAAATAGATTTATGATGATTTTGTGGGCTCATCTTGTCTAGTTTTTGAGCTACCTTCCAAGACTTAAATATTCTTCACTTTTGGAATCTTTTGGGTCAAGAATCTTCACTTTGTAAGCTTTATAGCATTTAATATTCTCTTGCTTTTGTATTTTAGTATGAGTAGCTAACTTTAACATTGAATATATATATATTATGGTTGGTTGATATTGATTTACTTCTCATTCTTCATTTATTGTTGGTGGTTGCAAACATTAACAAGTGCCATTAAATTCTTGCTTTGCTTGGGAAAGTGGGTTAGAATTTGGTAGAAGTAAATATCAAAGACTCAAGGATTTAAACCTTGTTTAATAGAATCACTTTGGAATAAGTGGGTTTTATTTGGCATATATTGATTGTTCTTAATTGCAACTCTTTTACATTTCGAAAAATCATAAAGAGGAAATAGTACCCAACTATTGGGAAATATTGGGTAGTCATTTAGACATCATTTGCATATCAAAAGGACCTTCCATTAGAAATATGTCATATTAACACCGATAGCATTACACTTCATTAAAGGGGACACAACCTTGGTTTCTTTAATCCAATTAATTACATTCTAAATCTCAACATTAGTCATTTCTCCAAATCACAATTACACCATACTCTTGTTACAATTAATCGGATAGAATTAAGATTTAAGTCAAGTGATACAATAATCAAGTAGCTTTTCACACCTATTCCATGTGGGATTCGACCCCAACCTTGTTGGGTTATTATATTTGACACCGACCGCCTTACACTATTTATTAAAGTGTAATTTGAGCGTATCAAATTTTGGCGCCGTTGCCGGGGAATACTGTCACGACCCGGATTTCCTACCCTCGGGAGTCGTGATGGCGCCTACTAATAGGAGCTAGGCAAGCCAACTTAATTTACTTCTTTTAGCAAATTATCGCCCATTTGATGAAAACAAATCATAATATGATAAAGCGGAAGTCTCAAATATAATTAACTGAAGGAAAATGCGGAAATTTAACAAAATCCTCTACCCAAGACTGGTGTCACAATACTCACGAACGTGTAGAGAATACTAAATACAAGGTTTGAATGAAACATAACACTGTCTGCTTCGGTACAAATGATAACAAACTGAATAAGATAGAAAGGGACTCCAGGCATGCGGACGTCAGCAAGGCTACCTCGAATGTCCCTGGACTGAAAGCTCGCTCCTAGAATGCTACTGCTACTCAAATGCTGCTCCAACACCTGGATCTGTGCAAAAAGATGCACAGAGTGTAGCATCAGCACAACCGACCCCATGTGCTGGTAAGTGCCTAGCCTAACCCCGGCGAAGTAGTGACGAGGCTAGACCAGACTGCCAGATAAACCTGTGCAGATATATATATACAAATACCACAAAGTAATAGCGGAAAGTAAACAATTAAAGCTGGGAGGGGGAACATACTTATGGGGTAGCAGATAAAACAGAATATCAGGGATAACAAAAGAAACTACATCTGATCTCTTCTAACACAGAACAAGGGAAAACAAACCACTTTCACTTGTTTCAATTTCCTCTCGTTGCAGGCGTGCAACACAATCCCAATTCCTCATATCACGTGGTAGGCGTACCACTTGATCCCATTTCATTATATCACGTGGTAGGCGTACCACTCGATCCCATTTCATAATATTACGTGGTAGGCGTACCACTCGCTCCCATTTCATAATATCACGTGGTAGGCGTACCACTCGCTCCCATTTCATAATATCACGTGGTAGGCGTGCCACACGATCCCATTTCATAATATCTCGTGGTCGGCGTGCCACACGATCCCATTTCATTCAGCACAATACACAATATAATCCCGGCAAGGGAGAAAGATGTTATAATAAGCTATCCCGGCAAGGGAACAAGATAATATAATAAACCATCCCGCAAGGGAACAAGATAATATAATAAACCATCCCGACAAGGGGGATCCAACTATAACCAAACTCATTCAATCTCTACTTAACACAATTAAATCCACACTTAGTCTCAACAATTAGTGGCTCAATGTTAAAGATTTCCAACCAATTCCTCATAAATAACAATTACCAATTCGACAATTTAGCAAATTAGGACTCACGGTCATGCTCGACACCAATGTATAGATACTCGTCACCATGCCTATACACCGTACTCGACAAATAGCAATTAACAGATAAGACTCTACTCTTATTCCCTCAAGCTAGGGTTAGACCAAACACTTACCTCAACTTCCACGGCTAAATCAATCAACAACTACCGCTTTCCCTCTCGAATTAGGCTCCAACTCAATCAAATCTATAAAATAACGACTTTATAATATCAATAATAGCTAAACAATTCAAACCCAATGCCTAAATATAGATTCCCAACCTTTCTTCCAAAATTCCAAAATCGACCTCGGGCCCGCTTGGTCAAAACCCGAGGTTCGAACCAATTCTATGTCACCCATTCCCCCACGAGCCCGAATATATAATTTATTTTCAAATTCGACCCCAAAACGAGGTCTAAATCAAAGAAAATCGAAAAGCCCTAATTCTACCCTTTTCCCCCAATTTCAACCCTAGATTATATGATTTAAGCTTAGGAATTCAATAAATAATGATGGAAAATGAAGAAAACGAGTTGGAATTTACTAACCCAAGAGGTCTTGATGAAATGAAGCTTCAATGGATGCCTAAGGACCTTGGAGAGGAAGAAACTCGGATGTTTTTATGATAATTTCGCGACTACACTGTTCTGAAACTTAAAAATATAACTGGGCAAAATTGCCCTTCGCGTTCGCGACAGGAGGGTCGCGTTCGCGAAGGGTAGGAGCTGACAAGCCTTCGCGTTCGCGAGAGTGAGAGTGCGAACGCGAAGAGGAAAATACGGGGGTCCAAGATTTGGCCTACGCGAATGCGAAGAAGGGGGGGGGGGGGGGGCTAAGGCAACGCGAACGCAAGATAGAGGGTGCGAACGCGAAGAAGAAAAGGTCTGTGCACCTGTTGCAGATTTTTCTGCAATTTTGCTAAGTCCAAAACCTCCCCGGAAACACTCCCAGGCCCTCGGGGATCCTAACCAAACACATACACTAACTCAACAACATCCTACGAACTTAATCGTGCAATCAAATCGCCAAAATAACATAAAAAACAATGAATCAAGCCTCAAAACCAATAGTTTTTCTTCAAACTTCATAAACTTTCAAATTTAGAACTTATAGTCCGAAACACGTCAAACGACGTCCGATTTCAACCAAACTTCACAGAAATATCTTAAATCACATATAAGACCTGTACCGGGCGCCGGAACCAAAATACGGGCCCGATACCAACACGGTCTAATCGATTTTCATTTCAATTTTCCTTAATAATTTCAGAAAAACAATTTTACTCAAAAATTCATTTCTCGAGCTTGGGACCTCGGAATTTGATTCCGGGCATACGCCTGAGTCCCATATTTTTCTACGGACCCTCCGGGACTGTCAAATCACGGGTCCGGGTCCGTTTACCCTAAATGTTGACCAGAGTCAAATTTATTCATTTTAATATCGAAACTTAGCATTTTTCACAGAATTTCATATTTAAGCTTTCCGGCTACGCGCCCGGACTGCGCACACAAATCGAGGCAACCCTAAATGTGGTTTTCAAGGCCTCGGAAGCACAGAATGAATAAGAAAACAAGTGATGACCCCTTTGGGTAGTCACAAATACAGTTTTGAAATTACTAATTAGTGTGTGCTTTACTTTACGTCTTATTCTATTCCATCACTCATCGCTTGCTTTGCTTGGTGTTGATGGGAAAACATGTCAGACTACGAGAAAGAAGTGGATGAAAATCCTTTTGCGGACATAGATGAGTACATTGAGGATACAAAGACTATTGTACCTCCGGTTGTTGGTGCCTCAACTTTCAAAGTGGAACATGGTCTAATCCTAATGCTCAAAGCGGAGGGGGTTTTCAGGAATTCCACCGATGATGATCCAACACAGCACCTTAGGAACTTCTTGGGAGTATGTGCTATGCATAAGGACAACAATGTCTCAGATGATGCCCTAAGGTTGAGGGTGTTCAAGTATTCTCTAGCTGGAGACGCATGGAGGTGGCTTCAAAACATGCCACCAAATTCCATCCGGTCTTGGCCTGAACTTGTCCGGGCATTTCTAGCAAAGTGGTTCCCACAGAGCAAGAAGTCCGAGCTTTGAGATAAGATTTTCTTCTTCAAGCAACAAGCAGGGGAACACCTACATGAGGCATGGGATCGATTCAAATTATATTTGGTGAGGTCTCCCAATCATGGTTTTCCAGACTCCATCTTGCTAGAGAAATTTTACATGGGCATGGATCCTATGAACCAAGCTATAGCGAAGAATGCGCCTGACGGATCTTTTATGGACAAATCATTCGCAAGAGTCACGCAAATACTTGACAAGATGGCAAATCATAATCAAGCTTCGCATTCTGAGGATACCTCAGGCGGAATTGCATATGGTTCTCCTTCCTTGACCAACTTGATCAAGGAGCATCAAGAGAGGGACCAAATAATTGCAGGGCTGGCCACAAATGTAAATGTGTTGACGAAAATGCTCACGGAAAGTCAAACAAAAAAGGTGAATGTAGTGGAGGATGTACAACCCATCTCCAGCGAAGAGTTTGAAGAAGCAAACACATCAACAACCCTCAAGGAGGGTATCAAAGACAACATTACCAGGGTCAGGGGAAGCAAAGTCAATGGAGGCCTAACCCGCAAGGGCAAGGCAACCAACAATGACGACATGACCAAGGTGGCTCAAACCAAGGGAATTGGAATAACAACAACAACTTTTCTTATCGGAGTTCAAACCTCTATATTCCTCCAAAGGGTCAATATTCAAGTCAATGTTCTTCTAGTGAATCTATGTTGGAAGCTATGCTTGAGCGAGTGTTGCAAAATCAAGAAAAATCCGATACTTCAATGAGGAACATGACCGAGGTTGTTGGGTCTCATACTGCCTCCATCCAAAAATTGGAGATGCAAATGAGAGACCTCTCCAAAGAGCAAAATCCAAAACAAAAGGGAACACTCCCTAGTGACACGATTGCAAATCCAAGGGGTAGTGGGAGTGGCCCAACTTCTCACATCATGGCGATCACTACTATGAGTGGGAAGGTGCTACACGGAGAGGGTGAACTAACAGATGAAGTAGAAGAGTCAAAACAAGGGGTTGAGGTTGAAGAGCCAAGTGTTGTCGAGGTTGAAAAGATTCCGGAGGAGTTGTAAGTGCAAAAAGAGAACCGGGAAGAGGTGAAGGAAAAGGTAAAAGTGACACTAAAAATGTCACGCCCCAAAATCCGAGGAGCGCGACCGGCGCTCAACCGAGTAAACCCGACTGAGCAAGCTTGTTAGGTTTTATTCTACCTAAACCAACTCATGATTAAATAGGAAATGGACTCCATTAATCAGCTTTAGTAAGTATTTCATTAACAACTTAATTCATAATTATCAAAATATTACAAATTTTATAAATCTTTGTAAAACATCAATATTTCTACTTTAATTCCCAATACCAAACACCATCCACAACCTGTCTGTGGAGCCTCTAAATATAGCTGAAGAATAATATGGAAATGCCGGCAACAAGGCTCCGACTATACCTCTAAATACGAAGTACATGATAAACAATCGTACAGGACCCCGAAATGAAGTGGGGCTTACCAAGTCAGCTGAAAGGAAAATCTGTCACTGGTTGCGACCAACACTGCCTGCTATGGAACCACCTACATCCATTTAAAGATATAGCGCCCCCGGCAAAAGGGATGTTAGTGCCATCGAATAGCACTACTATGTATAACTAAACACCATCTAGTTAGAAAGAACTATCATACAAGAGCAAAGAAATCTTTAACACCTTATCATTAGAAAGAATTTCAAACAAGAATAAAAGAAATCATAAAGGTCAATCAAAAGCTTTAACAGCCACCACATCATCAAATCGAAGAATCTTATGACTTTTACATAATTCCCATATCTTTAGTTTGGGGCACTTGATATTGTTCATCATCATTCATAATACCACCGCTTTCTTGAGCGGAGTCCGATCACGACCCGATCGGCTAGGTTGCCTCATTTGAGACATGTACCTCAATCACAATCTCATTCTCAATTTTCGGAATTCAATATCAGCACAATACCACCATGTGTGCGGCATGGTGTCCGATCATGGCCCGATCGGCTAGACCGTCTTACCAAGACGTTTTTCCTTTTTTATTAATCATCTCATTTCAATTTTTATTTCACATATATCAATTCGTAGGCACTTGGGGCCACAATAATCACATCCTACTTGGCACTAGGCCACATTTCATAACTCAATCTCTTCTTTCCCATATTTCACATCATTTCCACATATTTCACATCAATATCAGTTTGAACAACAAGCCAATCAATTCAAGATGTCAAGTACACACGAGGGGAACCATGAATCATGGGCATATACAATGACAATATTTCAGAAATCATACACCTCAAGTTTATTAACAATGGAACTTTAAACACATTGAATTCTTCCAAAAAGGAGAGGACACGCCAAACCACAACAAAAACACACATCAAAGGCATAAGAAACCCATTACACCAATTGTTCTTAAATTACCCCTTTTTCCAATCCAGACAATGTACAATTTCAACATCGAAGTATGTAACAACTCGGATCACATTGGATGTACTCATAAGGAAAAACGTTATCTCGAACAGCCACTTATGGCATAAATTTTGTACAAAGCCTCTAGGGCATTTTATTAATTAAGTCATTTATAGAAAGCAAAGTCGAGGCTCATTTTATAATCTATTTCATATTTTCTCATGTCATAGGCATCACCAGGTACAATTATAATTCAAGTTCTCGGCACATTGGCCACACTCTATTTCCCAAATTCATTTAATTACTTCCAACATCTCTAGATGTAGAGGATTTCACATAGTTTGGCATAATACAAGCAGCTCCAATCTCAATTTAAGGTCTTAGCATTTCAATACATGATTCACATTCCTTGCACCCTTTTTAAGTTATCAAGAATAGCACATTGATCATGTTGGAATGCATCTTTCACAAATATAGGTTCACTATACCATTTCATGTAAAGTATCAACCAAAGCAAGAATCCAAAGTTGAGTCTTACCACATTTACACAAGCATCAATAGAGCTGAATTTCTAAAAGACGGGATTTTAGCCATACATACCTCAAAGAGCTTTTCCTTAAGTTACTACAATGTTCTGGAGATTCTAGCAATGCCCATCTACTTCGAGACATAGCAAAATTGAACACGAATTAGGAAAGTATTAATAATCCTAGCTTATTTAAGCATTTTATCAAATACTAGTTGAGCATCTTGATTTCAAATCCCCTTTTCAAGATTTTCTTCATTCCCTAATCTAATCTTTACTTATTTATGTTCAATAATCTCCCCATAAACATATGTTGTACATGCATGTATACAAAATATTAATACACCCAAGAATCATACCTCAATAAACCATCTTATACCCCAAACTTGAAATTAAAGTCTAGGGTATAGAACCTTACCTCTTAGATGAAGAACTTATGATTGGGTTCTTTGATTCTTGAAGATTGATGCAAGATTTGGATGATTTAAATGTTGCGTTCCTCCTTCTCTCTCTAAAATGCTCTCACCTCTCTCTAAAATCACTAAAGAATGACCCCAAAAGAATCCCCGAGACCATATATTAAAATGGGGTCGAGTTGTAAAAATAGGGAAATTAACCCTCCGATGTCGGGTTTGCTATAGCAAAACGGACCGCAAAACGAGAATGCTGGCCGCATAATTCACCGCAAAATCGACGCCCAAAACTGGGCTACACTGACCCAGTTTGCGACAGGAATGCGATCGCAAAGTCAGAAATGCGATAGGATTTGCGGTCACAGATTTGACATAGGATTGCATTTTTCCAGCCTTTGGTAATTTGATCATAACTTTGTGTAGGAATGTCCAAATGACGAACGGTTTGTTGCGTTGGAAACTAAACTCAAAGGGCTTTAATTTGATAGGTTATGCATCACACAACTCTTTATATAACTGGAAATATCATTGTCCAAAGTGAGGTCTTGTGCGCACTCGTTTACAACTTTCGTGTATTATGAAATTTTCCAACTTGGCTTAGATTTAGGCCTCTCCTTAGACCCCAATTCACTTCTAATATGACTCATACACTTATTAACATATCCAATTGATATCCATTATATCATGCACCTTCTTTGCACACAAAATAAAATAATTAGTCTAGCTTACTTAGCGAAATTTTTTCCAGGTCCTTACATTCTCCCCCCTTAGGATCATTCTTCCTCGAATGAGTGGTAGAGTCCGCCCTAAATGCTTAACTTATTAAATCTCCTTTATAACATACCTCAAGTCCCTAAATTTTAACTAATTCCCTAAATCTTTTTCAAAAATTTCAGCAGAGTCTCCTTTGTAACTAGGCCCATCCATCTGTCAGAGAACCACCAAAATCATTCTAAAAATACATCCACAACTCGACAAATTATCATAATGTATATATCAATAACAAGAACCTCAGTATTATAAGAACCACGTTATCACGATGATACCTGGACATGGACTGCACATTTTTAAATCACAACACCTATAAGGTACCTTTCAAATCAAACCAATTGTTTTACGATCGAGCGAAAATATTTTCTTTCCACCACACTTTCGGCCTTCAAGGTGGCCTTATCGACTTACAAGCTTTGCCATAACACATTTACGGAAACAATCCCAACCTCAAAACTTATCTAACAAGGATGACATCTAGATACCTCGCATAAGCTAACTATCCAGTAACTTCACCTTCAATAATTTCCACCGGAATGATACACAAAGGATCTCCAACTACCTTTTTAGACATAGCCATACGAAAACACAAATTCATGAGGAACAATTATGGGGAAACATCATAGTCCTAATGCAATCTAATGGGAAATGCGCTTATGTATCCTTCATTATCAATTCTCATAACATTTACAGGGGAAAATTTAGAGAATAACCTGTTCACCTTTCTAAACTCTAAATCTCTACACAAACGCCCATGCTAAACCTTTGATGACCTTCCATAATTATTCTAAGATGTGCTATCATAAACTGACGATAAAATTACCTATCGAATATATGGGATCACACGGGGATACTTCCTCTTTGACATGGTTGAACCTTCAATACCTAATAGACTTAATACAATAAGGAGCAACGGAGTTCAAGATCAGGCTGAAGTTATTCAGGAATACATTAATGTGCTGAGCAAAGCATTTTATGAGGTTATATGCTAAGAGACACAAAGATTACTACTAACAATACTGACATGGTTAATCACTGTGACGACATCAATTACACAAATGAGGCATAAGGGTAAGTAGTACATTAGCAATAGGAATCATTTAAGGAGGAATATTCAAGTACATGACCCAGTCGTTTCCTAGAATGAAGGGAAGATCAATTTATACTCTGGCACCTTGAATGCAATATGGGATTCAGAATACATGAAGTGGAATTACACTCCTGACGTTAGCTGACACAAGGAATCTATGCCATAAGCCCATAAGGATGAAAATGAAGTTAAAACACTTCTCGGATTATCATAATTCAACAGTTTAACCCTCCCTGACAATTGACCCTATATGAGAGAGCTAAAGGTACGACAACTTGTCTTCCAGATCAATATGCTCATGATATGTGCAAATATCAGAAGTCATGTAATCTCAACCATTCACGAGTGAAACCACATAGCTAGGACATCTAAATGTTGGGACGAAATCATGTATTGGATAGAGGCGTTCTAATGGTTAACATGATGCTCCTAGGAGAAAGACAAATAACACTCCTACCCACCCAGAAAGGTGGAATACCAAGGGTAGCAAAACTCCCCTCACATGACAATGACATAGTCAATGATTCTAGAAGTCGAGGGTGTAAAGACAACCAAACTCAATGAGACCTTGCAGAATAATAATGGAAGGTTTACAGATGTTCACGATGAATTCTCCATGGATTTTTAATTGAGAAAGGAAGTGTCATAGTGACACATAGAAGGGTATGTTTTCTCATGGTTATCAAACAAGTGTTGGGAACTAGCACAATGAATTCACTAACCAAGGAACACAATTAACACGTTGTGGAGGTATAAAGAGAAAATAATCATTCGTTATGAGTTGGACATGCTTATGCTATACTAACATCAAAACTGCAATACAATACCACATCATGGGCAACCATAATACTAGAAACCAAGTGAGCTACTTGCTACGAGATATCTCAAGTGGACACAGAAATTATGGCAACACAAGATCTTCCTGTGATAGGGATGTAAGGATCTCAATTTTCAGAAAAACTTTATGCACACGCTGACCATTTCGATTGATATGCACTCATATGATAGGTGCTAAAATATGCCCTTATGTTACTAGACAATGAGAAGCTTCCATGATGATACTCGCAAGAGAGTAGATTGACTGTTCAAACCACATCAACCATATACACAACTGAGTAAAAGAGTGACTCGAGAAGGATCACAATTCTGGGATGCTTTGCATGGAACTTGACAACATATGTACAAACTTTATGATGGTGCATGTATAGGCACAAGGGAGCAGATGTTGTCCATTTAAATAAAACGTTTCTGTAAGGAATTCATCGGGAATAGCCCCTTGTTGAGAATTTAGGAAAAGCAAGTGGGAAGTATCAATAGTGTTATAATTCAATTCAGGAACATAATTATAGAGCTCAATTCCATAGGAAGGTGTAAGTAAGAAAACTGTGATCGAGAGACTTTGTGAATAATACGTCTCATTCAAAGAGCAGGTGCATGAAATGTTTTGTGATTTAGATTCTTTTTAAGAACATATCTATACAGGCTCCCAATATAGGTGTACGTATATAATAAGATAAAGCATGCGGCGTTCAGAATGACGTACTAATGGGTCAATTACCTGGTGACTCTAGATTGGCAGGGTAGTGCCTTAACTGATGCACCCCGACTTCATATCTCACATAAATTGGTAACACAGTGATATACTACATGATCTGGTGGTGCAGTGACATTAATAGGAACAAGGGTACTCCCCTTAGCAACAAGTTCTACTAATCCCTTCATGGCTCAACACATTCTCCTAACAAGTCCTTGGGCAATCCACTCAGACTCAATGGTGGGATCAATCCTTCATTACATGCTTCAAATTCGCTTTGATACCAATTTTGAGAATAAGACTTAGAGAGAAAATGAGCTCCCTATATTGAGCTATATCGCACGATCTGGAGTATCAAAGAAGGGTGAAATTCCTAAATGTCCAAATAGCCTCCAACTTATAGACGTGGTCGACAACACACCGATAACAAGGACTCTACTAGACACGGCTTCGAGACACCCTAGGACACTTTAAAACCTTAGGCTCTTATACCAAGTTTGTCACACCCCAAAATCCGAGGAGCGCGACCGGCGCTCAACCGAGTAAACCCGACTGAGCAAGCCTGTTAGGTTTCATTCTACCCAAACCAACTCATGATTAAATAGGAAATGGACTCCATTAATCAGCTTTAGTAAGTATTTTACTAACAACTTAAATCATAATTATCAAAATATTACAAATTTTATAAATCTTTGTAAAACATCAATATTTCTACTTTAATTTCCAATACCAAACACCACCCACAACCTGTCTACGGAGCCTCTAAATATAGCTGAAGAATAATATGGAAATGCCGGCAACAAGGCTTCGGCTATACCTCTAAATACAAAGTACATGTAAACAATCGTACAGGACCCCGAAATGAAGTGGGGTTCACCAAGTTAGCTGAAAGGAAGATGCGTCACTGGCTGCGACCAACACTGCCTGCTATGGAACAACCTACATCAATTTAAAGATATAGCGCCCCCGGCAAAAGGGACGCTAGTGCCATCGAATAGAACTAGTATGTATAACTATACACCATCTAGTTAGAAAGAACTATCATACAAGAGCAAAGAAATTATTAACACCTTGTCATTAGAAAGAATTATCAAACAAGAATAAAGAAATCATAAAGGTCAATCAAAAGCTTTAACAACCACCACATCATCAAATCGAAGAATCTTATGACTTTTACATAATTCCCATATCTTTAGTTTGGGGCACTTGATATTGTTCATCATCATTCATAATACCACTGCTTTCTTGAGCGGAGTTCGATCACGACCCGATCGGCTAGGTTGCCTCATTAGAGACATGTACCTCAATCACAATCTCATTCTCAATTTTCGAAATTCAATATCAGCACAATACAACCATGTGTGCGGCATGGTGTCCGATCACGGCCCGATCGACTAGGCCGTCTTACCAAGACGTTGTTCCTTTTTCATTAATCATCTCATTTCAATCTTTATTTCACATATATCAATTCATAGGCACTTGGGGCAGGCCACAATTATCACATCCTACATGGCACTAGGCCACATTTTATAACTCAATCTCTTATTCCCCATATTTCACATCATTTCCACATATTTCACATCAATATCAGTTTCAACAACTAGCTATTCAATTCAAGATGTCAAGTACACACGAGAGGAACCATGAATCATGGGCATATACACTGACAATATTTCAAAAATCATACACCTCAAGTTTATTAACAATGGAACTTTAATCACAACGAATTCTTCCAAAAAGGAGAGGACACGCCAAACCACAATAAAACACACCTCAAAGGCATAAGAAAGCCATTACACCAATTGTTCTTAAATTACCCATTTTTCCAATCCTGACAATGTACAATTTCAACATCGAAGTATGTAACAACTCGGATCACATTGGATGTACTCATAAGGCAAAACGTTATCTCGAACAGCCACTTATGACATAGATTGTGTACAAAGCCTCTATGGCACTTTATTATTGAAGTCATTTATGGAAAGCAAAGTCGAGGCTCATTTCATAATCTATTTCATATTTTCTCATGTCATAGGCATCACCAGGTACAATTATAATTCAAGTTCTCGGCACAATGGCCACACTCTATTTCCCAAATTCATTTAATTACTTCCAACATCTCTATATGGAGAGGATTTCACAAAGTTTGGCATAATACAAGCAGCTCCAATCTCAATTTAAGGTCTTAGCATTTCAATACATGATTCACATTCCTTGCACCCTTTTAAGTTATCAAGAATAGCACATTGATCATATTGGAATGCATCTTTCACAAATATAGGGTCACAATACCAATTCATGAAAATTATCAACCAGAGCAAGAATCCAAAGTTGAGTCTTACCACATTTACACAAGCATCAATAGAGCTCAATTTCTAAAAGACGGGGTTTTAGCCATACATACCTCAAAGAGCTTTTCCTTAAGTTACTACAACGTTCCGGAAATTCTAGCAATGCCCATATACTTCGAGACATAGCATAATTGAACACGAATTAGGAAGGTATTCATAATCCTAGCTTATTTGAGCATTTTATCAAATACTAGTTGAGCATCTTGATTTCAAATCCCCTTTTCAAGATTTTTTTTCATTCCCTAACCTAATCTTCACTTATTTATGTTCAATAATCTCCCCAACATGCATGTATACAAAATACTAATACACCCAACAATCATACCTCAATAACCCATCTTATACCCCAAACTCGAAATTAAGGTCTAGGGTATAGAACCTTACCTCTTAAATGAAGAACTTGTGATTGGGTTCTTTGATTCTTGAAGATTGATGCAAGATTTGGATGATTTAAATGTTGCGTTCCTCTTTCTCTCTCTAAAATGCTCTCACTTCTCTCTAAAATCAGTAAAGAATGACCCCAAATTAATCCCCAAAGACCATATATTAAAATGGGGTCGGGTTATAAAAATCGGGAAATTGACCCTCTGATGTCGGGTTTGCTACAGCAAAACGGACCGAAAAACAGGATTGCTGGCCTCATAATGCCCCGCAAAATCGACGCCCAAAATTGGGCTACACTGGCCCAGTTTGCGACACGAATGCGACCGCAAAGTCAGAAATGCGACAGGATTTGCGGTCGCAGATTTGACATAGGATCGCATTTTTCTAGCCTTTGGTAATTTGATCATAACATTGTGTAGGAATATCCAAATGACGAATGGTTTGTTGCGTTGGAAACTAGACTCAAAGAGCTTTAATTTGATAGGTTGTGAATCACACAGCTCTTTATATAACTGGAAATATGATTGTCCAAAGTGAGATCTTGTGCGCACTTGTTTACAACTTTCGTCTATTATGAAATTTTCCAACTTGGCTTAGACGTAGGCCTCTCCTTAGACCCCAATTCACATATAATATGACTCATACACTTATTAACATATCCAATTGATATCCATTATATCATGAACCTTGTTTGCACACAAAATAAAATAATTAGTCTAGCTTACTTAGCGAAATTTTTTCCAGGTCCTTACAAAAAACTCTTCCATCTACTCCTAGACCTCCTCCCCAATTTCCTCAGAGGCTCGCGAGAAAGATTGATGATAGAAAACTTGAAATTTTTTACGACATTCTCAAGCAATTAACAGTGAATATTCCATTTGTGGAAGCTTTTCAAGAGATGCCGGGGTTTGCTAAATATTTAAAGGATTTGATCACAAAGAAGAAGACTACAAAGAATGAAGTAGTAAATGTAACTCACCGGATTAGTTCCATCATTGCAACATCTATAGTTCAAAAGAAAGAAGATCCGGGAGCTTTTTCCATCCCTTGTAGTATTGGGGCCCGTGACTTTGCAAGAGCCCTTTGTGATAATGGGGCTAGCATCAACCTAATGCCTCTTGCCATCTATAAGCAAGTAGGGTTAGGTATGCCAAGACCCACTAGTATGAGATTGCAAATGGCCGATCGTTCAATCAAACGCCCGGTAGGAGTTGTTGACGATGTTCTTGTGAAAGTGGGAAAGTTTCATTTGCCCGCCGATTTTGTAATTCTTGATTGTGCGGTTGACAAAGAAATCCCTATCATTTTGGGGAGACCATTCCTTGCTACGGGGAGAGCACTCATGGATTCGGAAAGAAATGAGATCAAATTCCGAGTAAATGATGAGGAAGTTACGTTCCAAGCAAGCAAGGGCATGAAGCTACCCCATGAGTATGAGAACATCTCGGTGCTAGATGATGTTGATGAAATCGAGGATGCGGTGGAAGTAAAAATGGAAGAAAAATGCCTCGGTGAGGCATTGGTGGCTATTTTGGTGAACTTTGATGGAGAAGATATGGAAGGAAATATGGAATCGGTGAATGCATTGGAGGGGCTCGGAACTTACACTTATGCTCCGGCCAAGTTTTCTCTCGACTTGGGGAATAGAGCCACTCGGCCCGCAAAGCCTTCTATTGACGAGCCACCACAACTAGAGCTCAAACCGCTCCCACCACACTTGAGGTATAAATTTCTTGGCTCCAATGATACTTTACCCGTAATTGTTTCTTCTTTGTTAAATGATGTGCAGGTGGAACAATTGTTGGAAGTCTTGAAGGAGCATAGGCAAAGCCATTGGATGGACAATTGCGGACATCCGAGGGATTCCCGCGGGAATTTGTGAACACAAGATCCAATTGGAGAGTTATACGAAACCAAGTGTTGAACATCAACGACAGTTGAACCCGTCAATCCAAGAGGTGGTAAAGAAAGAAATCATCAAGTGGTTGGATGCCGGGTTGTCTACCCTATTGCTGATAGTTCTTGGGTGAGCCTGGTGCAATGTGTGCCGAAAAAGGTAGGCATGACCATAATTGAAAATGAAAAAAATGAGCTCATCCCAACAAGAACGGTGACCGGTTGAAGGGTATGTATGGATTATCGGAAGCTCAACAGTGCCACATGCAAAGACCATTTACCTATGCCTTTTTTTTGATCAAATGCTTGATCGGCTAGCGGGAAGGTCATTCTATTGTTTCCTTGACGGATATTCCGACTACAACCAAATCAACATCGCATTGCAGGATCAAGAGAAGAAGACATTCACTTGTCCCTATGGAACTTTTGCCTTTAGTCGGATGCCATTTGGTTTGTGCAATGCTCCGGCTACATTTCAAAAGATTTATGATGTCATTTTTCTCCAACATGGTGGAGGATTTTCTAGAGGTCTTCATGGATGACTTCTCGGTAGTAGGTGACTCTTTTTAGAATTGTCTTAACAATCTTAGACAAGTGCTTAAGAGATGTGAGGAAACCAACCTTGTGGTAAATTGGGAGAAATGCCATTTCATGGTGGATGAAGGCATCGTATTGGGGCATAAAATTTCAAAACATGGCATTGAGGTTGACCGGGCTAAAATCGAGATTATTTCCAAGCTTCCTCCACCTACTTCCGTCAAAGGTGTTCGATGTTTCTTAGGGCATGCCGGATTTTATAGGCGGTTCATCAAGGATTTTTCGGAAATTGCAAATCCTATGTGCAAACTCCTTGAGAAAGACGCCAAATTTGTGTTTGATGAGAAATGCCTCAAAGCTTTTGAGGAATTGAAGCAAAGGCTCACCACGTCACCTATTATTGTCACACCCGATTGGTCTCTTCCTTTCGAGCTCATGTGTGACGCCAGTGGTGTAGCTATTTGAGCAATGCTTGGCCAATGTCACAACAAGGTTCTCCACCCGGTCTATTATGCAAGAAAGACACTCAATGGGCGCAAATGAATTACACGGTAACTGAGCAAGAGCTTCTTGCCATTGTTTATGCCTCTGAGAAGTTCCGGGCTTATTTGTTGGGATCCAAGGTGATAGTGCACACGGATCATGCTGCTCTTCGCTATCTCATGGCAAAGAAGGATGCAAAGACATGGTTGATTCGATGGGTCTTATTGTTGCAAGAGTTTGAATTCGAGGTCAAGGATCGCAAGGGAACTCAAAATCAAGTGGCGGATCATTTATCAAGGCTTGAAGAAGCAGGGAGACCAAAGGGAGATCTTGAGATCAATGATGCATTCCCGGGTGAACATATCTTGGCACTATCTAGCACTTTTGCTCCTTGGTATGCCGATATTGCTAACTATTTGGTGAGTGACCTTATTCCGGACGGATTGGAATCATATCAAAGAAAGAAGTTTTTGAGAGACTGCCGGCAATACTATTAGGAGGAACCATTCTTGTTCCGGGTCTGTGCTGACAATATTATCAGAAGGTGTGTTCCCGAAGAAGAGGTCATGCCAATTCTCAAGGCATGCCATGACTCACCGGTTGGGGGTCATCATGGAGGAAATCGAACGGCGGCTAAGGTTCTTGAATGTGGTTACTATTGGCCTTCCATCTATCATGATGCCAATCAAATGGTCAAGGCTTGTGACCAATGTCAAAGACAAGGTTCAATCTCCAAGAGGCATGAAATGCCAATGCACTTTGTGATGGAGATAGAGATCTTCGACGTGTGGGGAATTGATTTCATGGGTCCCTTTGTAACCTGTTGCGGGATGAAATATATCTTGGTAGCTGTGGACTATGTGTCCAAATGGATTGAAGCAATTGCCTTATCAAACAACGAGGCAAGGAGTGTGACCACCTTCTTGAGGAAAAACATATTCACTCGGTTTGGCACTCCTAAAGCCATTCTTAGTGACGGTGGATCACATTTATGTAACAAGGCTTTCTCGGGGCTACTTGAGAAGTATGGCGTCAAGCACAAGGTGGCTACACCTTATCATCCGCAATCAAGTGGTCAAGTTGAGGTTTCCAACCGGGAGATCAAGAGCATTCTATCAAAAACGATTAATGCAAACATGACCGATTGGTCAAGAAGCTAGATGATGCATTATGGGCATACCGCACGGCGTATAATACTCCTATTGGTACTTTTCCTTATCGGTTAGTCTTCGGAAAAGCTTGTCATCTACCCGTGGAATTGGAACACAAGGCTATGTGGGCGTTGAAAAGCTTGAACTTGGGCTGAAGCTGCAAATTTCAGGTTAACACAACTCAATGAAATGGAGGAATTCTGGTTCCACGCTTATGAAAGTGCAGCCGTGTACAAAGAACAGATGAAGTTCGTCCATGGCAAGAAGATCTTGAAAAGAGAGTACAAGTCGGGTGACTTAGTGTTTCTCTTTAACTCAAGGCTAAAATTGTTTCCGGGCAAGCTAAAATCAAAGTGGTTCTGTCCATTCAAAGTGGGCAATGTCTCTCCTTATGGAGCTGTGGAACTAGCATCGGAAGATGGGTCCCGGACATTCAAAGTAAATGGCCAATGCATCAAGCACTACTTGGGCACAGATGGAGAAAAACATTTGGTGGAGCAGCTGGCTCTCAAAGATGGTCCGTGACCGACCATTGGGGGAATCCAAAGGAGCACCAACTTCGTCGTGCCGCGACGTTAAATCAAGCGGTTCATGGGAGGCAACCCATGTGTGGTAACACCCTTTTTGTTGTTTAAATTTTAAATTTTTGATAGATAGATTTACTTGAGCAATTCAAAGTGTGTGTTACAGTGCAGGGGATTCAAAAGATCACAACACTTGGTGGGAATGCATGAGAAAGGTAAGAAAATCGCGGTGTGAAGTTTGCTGCAAAGATGCGGTCGCATTTTAACTATGTGCACCGCATTTTGGTTGCAAACCCAAACAGTGAGTTTGGCAAACATTTGTGGTCAGAATGCGACGGGGTGGTGCACTTTGCGAACCATATTTCACTTCTGCGACCGCATTGTGTACTGCATTTCTGGCTCTTCAGCATCTCACTTAAACCCACCGCATAACACATATGCGGTCGTATAGTGTGTTATGCGGTGGCCTCCAAATCGCAAACCAGACAGGTAAGTGGTCGCATTCTCTCATCTCTCACTCATTCAAAACAAAACAAAAACAATTAAAGGGTAAAAAGAAAACAAAAGAAAAAAAAATTTAGAAATGAGCGAAAAGAAAAGGGAAGTAAACAACGGGGGCAAACACACACTGCTACTAATCGAATTGTTCAAGCGACAAAATCCCACTCCCCATCTCTGTAGTGTGTGCACTCAGCCTCACTGGTATGTACCCATTCCCCTATCTTGCTGTTCAAGATTCATGTTTGTGTTCTCTTTGATTTTTGTTAATCTCGTTCTGCAAAAATGTGATTGTGTGTTGCTTTTTGTACTATTTTCCCATAGCATAGTCTCTTCTGGGTAGGAAATATATCTGGGGTAATGGGTAGAAGGAAATAGGACCGCCATTATTGAAGTGATGGCTTGAGTCCTGAGGACGACAGCATTTGCGGTCTGCAAAGTCAGAATGCGGTCCGCATTTTGGCCACATAATTTAACCCTAGGTCTCCTGAGGACGATGATGAGATGCGGTGACTTTCGCGGTCGCATAATTTATACGCGGACCGCACAGTTACCGCAAACTGAAACAGACCACCCAGTTATGAACCTAGCCATTTGCGGTTGTTTTGCGATCGCATTCCCCACTTTGCGGTAGAGTTTGCGATCGCATTTTGTTGTGTATGTTGTGAGCAAATCAGTTCTGCGATGGTTATGCGGTCCGCATAGTGGTTATGCGATCGCATAACCCACCGCAAACTGAGACCCATAAAGCCCAAATAAATTCGCGATGATTTTGCGGTCCGCATTGTGGTTATGCGACCGCAAAACGTGTCGCATTTTAATCTTTTTCTTTGAATTCTTCTGTTTCTTCTCAGTGTTGCTTATGTTGTCACTCATACTTCACCATTGTGTGGATATGGCTCCCAAGAAACATGCATCCTCTGAATCTAAAAGGGCTTCCTCCAGTCGTCAGGCATCACAAGCAAAATGTTCACGGACGGAAGCAAATGTGCTAATCCCCTCCCAGTTTGATGAGGAGGAGCTCAGGCCCTCAGTGAATTTAGAGGCTGAAGCAAGAAGGAAACACGGATAAGACTTCCACATCCGATTTGGGGTTGTGGGGTCCAGGAAACCATACAGAGGAGGGCTCACCAAGCAAAAAATCCTGGCCGAAAAGCAATTGAGCTTGAACGGGCTGCAAGAATAGTACCCCCACATCCTGGAGAACATAAAAGCACGGAAATGGGAGTGCTTGACTAAGCCACCCACTGAGTATAATGAAACCCTTGTGCGAGAATTTTATGCATCATATGGAGTCTCTAGGACCGCGCACCACAAACGCAACAGAATTTTTGTTGACACTGTCCTTGTTTGGGAGAAGAGCGTGTCTTGCGACAGTGAAGCCATAAATGAATTGTACTTCCCTGGCTGGAGAGCAGACACCACTGAGTATGATGCTAAATATGCAAATAGGGAGAATGAGCGTGGGTGGATTGCTTCGGTGATAGCAAAGGGGACCCCTGCTTGGATCAACCCCAGGCACAAGATATACAAGGAAGATCTCACAGGAGAGGGTCGATACTGGCTCAGCTTTGTCACCTCTTGATTGGTACCGACCCGGAATGAGACTGACATAGCCATTGAGAAGGCTCTTCTCATTGCATGTATCATGACGGGTATCAAGATTGATGTTGGAGCTCTGATTTTCAAAGAAATAGGGATCCGGGCAAAGCAGCATGCCACTTCACTTCCATTCCCTTGCCTGATCACAGCTCTCTATAAAGCTGTGAAGGTCCCTCTCATGCCACACTATG